ACACGCGGCGCCGTGTGCCTCCAGCCTCAGCACCCGAGACCACAATCACTGCCTCCAGCATTGTCTGACGAGAGACTTTTACCGCAGAATGTTCAACCTTTGTTCACTCTAAGCCTGTTTTTCTTTCAGCGTGCTCCCTCGTAACCCCTGAGGCACCGTCCCTTTTTTCTCTTGAATGAAAAAAAAAAAGGGCTCCACCGAAATGAGGCGGTGAGAGTTTCGGAATAACCGCTTGATGAGCAGCAGACTGTCAGACATTCTTCATACAGCAGCCAATTCGTCATCTTTTACTGTCTCACCCATTTTCATTTGAACGGTTGTTCAAAGGGGGGTGGGGGGTGGCGGGTTTAGTAGGTGTTAAACACATTGATTTATGTATCAGACTGTGACTCATTTGAAGCCATTGACTTCCTGCTTCCCGAGAAGATAATTGTGGGTATCACTGAGGACTGAATTCGGGGGGGACGGCTAAATGTCAGGGGCGTGGGGAGAGACGGAGAGAGAGATGTTTGCATAAGAGGGCCAGGGGCACTTGTCTATCTCCCATATGGCCCTCATTATAATGAAGAACTCTTGTGAGTCAACACCATAGCATCCCTGAGTCAGTCGGCCACAGGAGACAATCCGTATCCCATTTTAGACTGTATGCTTTTGCCCCGACAAATCCACGAGACATTATATCAGCATTTCATTCGCCGAGCCGAGATGCCGGCCCGGCGAATGTGTTGCACTAATGTCTCTGTGGAGCTCGACGTATAATGTTTCGATAGGCAATAGAGTTGTTATGGGCAAGTGGTGGGCAGTTTCCGAGCAAGTTTTGAAACTCCACCAATAAATGATAGATTTTCCCACCCGTTCCAGCAGGTGACAGCCGGCGTCATCTTGACATTTCTAATCTGTGTGGTATTTCCGGACAGCAGGGGCCAATCTTCATTTGATAGCCCTCGCACCTAATTAGACCGGCTCTAATGTTCTACTCGGCAGAGTGTCAAATCCAATGTCCAATTACGGAGCAGATCAAGGCCAAAGGTCCGCCTCCACTACCTCTCGTGGCTGATTATAGAAGATGTGCCATAGCATGCATCACGCGGAGGGAAATGGGTCCCTCAGAAGAAGAGATGCGCACACGCACGCGTACACATAAGGGGATCAATACCGCAGGCAAAGAGGCCGAGGGGCCGAGGGTGGCTCTCTCAAACCCTGTTTGTCTGTTTCAGACAGAGTCTCTCTGTCCGGGCAGACACACAGAGGCCTCTCAGTGCTGCAGTCACTGCACGATGAAGAATTTGCAGGTCTGAACATTAGCAGAATGTTAAAATCAATCAGGTCAAAGTGTGTTGCCGAACATGCGTGTAGAAACCGTGCATGTTACTTTTTCTGGGAAGAAAAACATAATCAATGAGGAACCCAACCCACCTCGAGTGACGAGCTCATGAATGGAATGTCACCCCCTGTCAAACAGAGCAGACCTCATCCAGATGGCTGTGCTCCTACTTTTGATGTGGGGATTGTCACCACATACTAAACACAATGTGTGGGTATCACCTGTCCATACGGCAACCAGATAAAAAGTTGTGTGTTTGTGTGCAAGCTTAAGCGCCCCCTCCCCCCCCCCCACCCCTCCGCTCCACTCCCGCGGTGTGGATGATGGACTGAGGGAAGTGGCGTGAGAAGGAAAGAAGACACACTGAATTTGAGCAACTCTAAAAGGGGTTAAGAAATACAAAACAATAAAACAGAGTATCTTTTCTTTTAACCGAGCACAAAAACGTGATCTAAGAAAAGGGCGGTGCGCTTTAACTCGTTCTGTTATTGTGCGATGCATCAGGCGAAAATATTGATGTCGTTGTGTGTCGGCAAATCAATTCTGCGATGCGGTTTTTCAACAAGTTTTCCTTTTTCAACGCCAAACCGTTCTCTGCTCCGTCCGGGAAAAGTGTGCGTCTGCAGACCTGACGTGTAGAGGAGAGATAGAGGACGGCGCACAGTTGGTGTAGGCATTGGGCTAGGAGGGTGTTGTGAAAGGGGGGGGCTCATGGAGGAAGAGACTGCAGCTGTAATTGCTAAGGAAGAGCCATGTGCACGAAGGACGTAGAAGCTTATTAAAGGAGGAGACGGAGTGATTATTCACTATGGTCCTCTAGAGAGGCCGACGCTGAAGTCATCGCTTTTAATTAACTTTGAAACGTTTTTTTTGCGGATTAATAACAATATTAAGAAGGGAATGGGGAGGAGAAGCGCAAACACATCCTGGATCTGGTTCAAGCTTTTTAATTACAATTAAACAGCCTTGATGGCACAATGGCACAATAACTACGCCTTTCCTGTCCTCTTTTCTTCCTCTGCCTGTGACTGCATCCGTCGAGCATGTCTTCGGTGTCGGCGCTGTGTCTCTCGGGACTTGTCCAACGGCAGCTTTTAACAAAGCATTGATTTCCTAAAGAGATTTTAGGGTCGGTCGGAACATTTGGCACAAGAGCGGGCGGCGAAGGAGCCAAAAGACTGTGTGGAAGGGAACTTGGAAGGCTAAAGGCTGCTCTGCTGGAAGTAGCTTTCCCATTTGTTTGTTTACCAGGAAAACTGAACTTCTTTTTGGTCTAGCTTGAAAAAGTGTCACGGTTTTGTGCTGCACTCTGGAGGTGGAAGTAGAGGAGAAGAAATTAAGTCCTATGGATGCAGATGTGAGTGCACAGCTGGTAAGGACCCCTGGAGTTGGAGGAGCACACACAGGAGTGAAACAGCGCTTGCGGGGCCCGGAAACCCGCTGCTCCCCCAAAGCCAGAGGATGATGAAATACTAGTATTGTCTCCAATTCCCTTGCCTCCCTCGTCCAGACCCACGGTGTGGTTTTCTGCAGCCTTAATGAGCTGAGGAAAGCACCAGTGCGACTGCAGGAGCTTGGCTTTGACTCTCGAGCACTTCATCAATGATGTAGCATGAGTTGGTTCAACATTTATAACCATTCACAGTCACTTACACGGGCCGAGGCTCCTTTGGGGTGAAGGGGTGTGGTAGGGAGGGGTTCTCTATCGGCCAAACACACAAGCTAACAAACGCCACAGCAAGGAGGAGAGCTTTTTGTTTTTGTTTTTGCGTAAGCTAGCGAAATAGACGCGCTTACCACTTTATAAACATTAGGCGGGTCTCTGGAGATGCGCACCGCGTTTGTCTAACTTAAGTACCTCCCCAACCTCCTGCCGGGAGGACAAAGAAGCGGGAACAGAAGGCGTTTTATAGGAACATATGCTCTTCTTCCCCTATTATGTATCAATGCTTTAACGCCCACCCATAAACATTACTGTTGAGTGAGACATTATTTATAGAAGAAGATTGCTGTAACTTGTGTTTCTCTTGCTGGCGGTGGACTTGCCGAGGGTAAAGGTATAAACCTCCGGCTGCCTCGGTGAGACTGCAGCTTCTCCAACGCAACCGATACCAGCTGCTTATTTATTTATTATTCATTTCCATGTTCACATACTTACACTGTAGGACCCCGACATATTTCTGCTCTAATCCAAATCTCTGTCTCTTAATTCAAAGTGTTATATCACAGCCAGCATGATGGCCGCTGGGAGTTGGAGGATAAGATTTCTATTGACTTTTATTGCTCATTGCAGAGCTGTGCTGAACAACCTGAGGATGGTGATCAGAAATCCCACAGCGTCCATGAAATGGGCTTCTAATGATGCCTTTGCATGGGATCTCTGTATTGGATCTCCCAGTGTGTCACCAGCAGCACATCTGATTACAGAACTGTGTCTCCATGTGTACAATTCCCTTATAAGGATCAAGGTGGCAAGAAATAAAGTGCAGCTGAGCAGTAAATATTTGAGAAAACATGCCAATGTGCTCACAGGCCACCTGCATTGCCACACCTCCTCTTGATTTCTTCTCAACTACATTTGAACACAGAATGGAAGCTTTGATAAAGTGTTTTTAGCATTCCATATTTTTTGAGCAGGTAACTAAAATTGTACTTGGACCAATTATAGTTAGTTGTTGCAGAATAACCATTTTTAATTGGCGATTTTGCGTTTTAGTTTTTAATTTATTTATTCATTCATTTATTTTTAATTTAATTTATTCCCCTTTTCTAAGTTTTTTTTTCACGTGAAGATAACAGATCTGACGGCTGATCGGGAGGCTCACATTAACTAACCCGAGAGGACCCTGCGGGGCCCAAATGAAATTACAGCCCCATTAAAATGATGCATCAAGAAGATCGCGTCTTAATGCATTTAACAAGGCTGCAAAGACGGATTACTGCAGCGGTGAAATGTCCACACGATCCACTGTTGTGCTGGCGCAGACAGGTGTCCATATGCGTAAAGATTCCCCCTTCCCCCGCTTTAATGCCGCTAAAGCTCACTAAAAGTCATACAACATGTAATAATGCAAACGGAAAATAAAAGGGTGCACACACGGCTTTCATGGCTATATAAATAAGACTAATAATAATCATGATAAAAAGCGTCACTATAAATTAGCCAGAAATTCAGTATAACCACTATTATTTTACATGAAACACTTTAAATTAATAGTAAAATCTGCTTGATATTAATCCCAATTCGGAAAAGTCGGAATCGCCCAAAGTTCTAAATCTTACTGCGTAAATGCAAAAAGAAAAGATCAGCGCGCACTCAAAATGTGGACACAAAAATGCGTCCGTCCTTTGGTTCGCGGTACGCGGCAATGCGCAGCATCATGCGAGGAGGCGAAGCGGGCTGCAGCCACGCAACTCGACTCTGTCTCCAGGCGCGCGCGGAGCCACAGCTGTGCGCTCGGGGGCTGTCGGCACGGCAGATGCGCACGCTTGCCTCACAACACCACTTGTTATTCCTTGGTTTTTTTAAACAATCGGGTCCCTGCGACGTGGAATTTTAATGTTGCTTTTCTAAGCAAGAGAGAGTGTCACAGCGGCAGGTCGCGGCGGGGGACGGGAGGAGAATGAGCGTCAGGTCAGTCAGGAAAGAGGAAAGAAAACTTTAGAAAGCACTAACCTGGCCATTCTTGCAGAGGTCTGCCCACATGCTGGTGCCATCTCCTCCTCTCATCAGCACGTTATAGATGAAGAAGTAGGTGCCTGGAATGCTGCAGATGAACTTGCCCGCGATGCCATCATAGTTGTTGCCTAGGTTGGTGACCACATCGTCAAACTTGAGGATCTCGTAGCCTTCGTGGGGGTTTTTGAGCCCCGCGTAGAAGGCAACCCGAGGCACCGTGCTGTAGGTGGCCGTGCTGATAGCTCCGTCCCCCCCCAGGCCCAAAATCCCAGTCCGTCCTTGGTCCCCTCTGTCGCCGGGAGGCCCCACCGGTCCTGGTGGACCCGGTTCTCCCGGTGGTCCCGGCGGTCCCGGCTTGCCTGGCCTGCCAGGCTTTCCCTGTGGGCCCTGCAGTAAGGTGGAGGGCGGAAGCACATTGCTGTGGTCGCTCAGCGCCTCCGCCTCCGCCTGCAGACCGGTGGAGGTGGTGCTGCTGGCCGGAGTGCCCTTGTTCAGGTAGGGGTCGCACACCATACGACAGGTGCCCAGCATCTCATAGTGGCTGGCATCTGTACCCACGGAGCTGACCAGTACGGGGATGAGGACCACCAGCACCAGGACCAGCATAACCCCTACGGCAGCCGCCACCAGGGTCTTCCTCCCGATGCTGAGTCGGGGAAGGGGCTGCGCTGCCAGCGTGGGTCTCCCGGGGGCAGAAATGGTGACTGCTTGGTGAGGGGAGCCTGTCACCGTCGAAAGGGATCCCGAGATCCCGAGAAGAGTTGCGAGAGGACCGGCGAGTGTGGGACGGTGAGCCAGAGACCCACATACACTTGATACTCCTCAATGTTCTGCTCAGTCACACTAAAGTAGGCATGCAGTCACTCACACATGCAGAAAGAGCCACGGAGACCCGCGTGCACACACAGGGAGACATTCAGCCTGTACTTACAAACACAATCTGACTTGTGAGAAGAAGCCAGAAGGATGCAGATCCCAGGGGAATGGAGTGAGAGACAGAGGGAGAGAGAGAGAGAGAGAGAGAGAGAGAGAGAGAGAGAGAAAAGGATGAGTGGGTGAGTGTGAAAGATACCGAGCAGCCACTGGATCTGTGTGTGCGCGTGTGTGTGTGTGTGATGTGTGTATGTGTGTGTGTGTGTGTGCGAGAGTGCGTGTGGGGAGTTTGTGGTGCCGGATTCTCAGGCTTGGCTTTTTATACGCCAGTAGCAGCAGCCCCCCCCCACGCCCTCCCCTCCGCTCCCCCATCGAGTGAGAGGTTGGTGTGGTTACGTCCCCTTCTCTCTCTTCGGCTCACTCGGAGGAAGGACTCTCACCATTCCTTCCTCTCTACCGCTCGCCTGAACCACCCAATCACCAACACGACCCCCCCCCCCCCCCCCCCTTCCATCCCTCCCTCCCTCGCCCCCAACACTCACCCCCTTGACCATCTTGCACCCCCTCTTTCATCGCTTTCTTTACTTCTCTCCTGTCTCTCCCTCCTCCCTAGTGTTGATGCCATTTTCTCGCTCCCCGGCTGTCTCCTCTCGCTCATCAGCGTCAACACTCTAAAAATAAAGATGGAGCTGTGGAAAGACAATCTTTTTTTTTCTTCTTTTTTTTCTGGAGGTGGTTTCTAGAGATTCTTGCATATACTGTATGTACACAGAGACAAGGCAACGCTTAACCTGCTATAACGGGAAGTGCTAACAGCTTCTCAAAGAAAAAAAGAAGTGATAATTACAAAAGTGAATGCCAAGTAAGCGATTCAAACGGAAACAGCTTGACCTGTACAATATAAATTAAACATTGCGATAACACATAAAATGAGAGTTTTTAATGGTCTTAGTGGAAAATCACATTGAGGCAAAACTGTTCTGAAATCTTTGTTTTAATATTCTTAGTGGCACATCCCATATTGGGTCACTTTTTAAGGGTAAAAGCAGTCAATCTATCCTTCTAAGGGCCAGTGACATTTACGCTCTTCTGCTGTTATTTCATTCCCTCCTTTGCCACCTGAACGCGCTGACACCGTTTGTTATTGGTGTCTTTTTTTAGTTATTGATTTCATGGTTTTTATCAAATCAAGGGTCCAGGTTGGGAAGAAAAAAAATCTATATGCAGCAGTGATGTCATTTGTTTGACATTTTCATCCCTTGGAGTGATGAATGGTGGAGTAGGAAAGCAAATGACAAAGGCTTTACAAACAGTGTCCTCGTGTGAAATATGTGTTGTGTTTGCAGGGAGGTCAGACCTCAGTGTTCTTGGTCTCAATTCAATCCAGAACCCAAAATGGACAAATCCCCTGAAAGTTGTATGGTGAGAATATGATGCGTCCCAGTCAGTACGATCTGCTGATGGCAGAACACTATTATGATAAATACTGTATCCGGCTGAAGAAAACCACTTCCAGGGGTTCCACCTACAAAACAAGTTGGTCCAAAAGTAAAGTTGGTTTACGCCCCCACCCAATACAGAGATGGAGAGAGAAAAAGAAGACAAAAGAGAGAGAGAGTCACACAGCGCTGCTTTTCTGAGAATAGAAGAACAAATATTTTCTGATGGTTTCATGGCGGTAACGTTCTTAAGCACAAATAAATATCATACCCTCAGCAGAACAAACACTCCTCTTCTTAGTTTTTCCTTCAGCATTCCAATGATTACATGGAGCGCACTCTACTAAAGCAGTGAACCTACATGCTGCTCATTGTTCATAGTGCATTTGAAGGAGTCATTTTCCGCTTACATCGTGACGTGAACACACATATTTGGCTTGATGGCCCGATGTACCTGCGAGGATGGAGGGTCATGGAGATGTTGTACTTATCAGTGGAGTCAGATGGTGTTGTCACTGGCTGGAATGTAAATCTGCTGATTCTTGGCTTTCGCGCGGTTGCCCGTTCCTGGCTCGGATAGAACCGCTTGTGCCTGAAACTGGATGGAGCTTTGGTGACGGATTGAGATGGATCAATGAGCAGGATGCCGGACTATTTATCATGCCTCCACTTGACATATCTCCAGTTACTCTGCTGCATATTTCTCTCTTCATCATCATTAAACTTCAGTTGCAAACTTATGGCATCACAAGTTGGATATCTAATTTATCACTGGGCACATAGTCTGTAGACAAACCCAAATAACTGACGCACCAGGTGGGCCTGCAATGCAAATTTGCCTGTTTTGTTCTATTCCTCATAACAGACATGGGGTTTGCCTATATGGAGAAGCACACAAGCCCTAAATTGGTTTCGGGGTTTGTTTAGGCGGCCGTTGTTTGTTCTTCACACCTGTCGGCTGTAACTGCCAGTGAAATCACTGCGCCCCAAATCTCTAAATCTCTGAACCACAGAGATCAATGCACACCAGGGAGGACAAACAGAGAGCGGCGGCGATGAAAGAGAGATGCGGAAGACAAGCAATGGAGAGGCAAAAGGGGAGCGAGAGGTGCAACATGGAGGGAGTTCACTGCCGTGACAGCTGAGCTTCATATCGGCGGAGTTTGTTTTGCTTGATTTGTTGGAGCATGTGGGGAGGGGATCCAGATTGTCGGTGGCACTCGCAATAACACTTTTTTTTTAAAATGGAAGTGACATTTTGTAGAAACTCTGCATGTGGTAGGGACGGATTTTATTGTATGAGTTGCGTTTGGGGGACGTCTTTTAGATGTGAATTTGGTCAAACGCTTGGGTGGTGAAGTTGGTATCCGCTGCAGAGGTCGGGTCGTAGCCCCTCGGGACGGGTTCGTTCCGGCCAACACATGTGGCTTTGTTAACGGGAGGGACACACGTTCCTAACCTTTTCTTTGTCGCACCGCTCAATGGGGACTGGACCTCGAGCAATAGGGTGACGCACACAAATGACAAATTATAAAAGAAAAGTAGAAGACATTTTCAAATTCATGAATATATTATGATCTTATATTGTGTTAACTTTGCAGGTGGGGCAATTGTTTTGATAATCGATTCAAATTTAATGTATTCTAATGATTTCTTTTAGGCTAGAAGCTGTGAACATGACACATATTCAACTGAGAAGTTGACATGGAAAGTAAACTTTTGTCTTTTTTACACAGTAACTGAGCAACATTAGCTTGATTTTATCATTCATCTAATTAATATAAGCCCCATATTCATACTCCTTTTTACCTTTTTTTGTGTCCACCAGCTCCATAAAGTAATATCTGCCGCTTTAGCTGCTAAATACCCCACTGGGTTCACATTCTCTCTGCTCAACTGCACCACACCGCTGAAAGATATTGTTTATTTATTAATAATTTAATCAAACCATTAAATAGAACCTAATTTGACTGCATATTTAAAGCTTGCTTAATGTACGATGGTGACAAATTTAAATAAAAGTGTAGAATGATTTAACAAGTGGTGATATACAAAGATATCACCTTCAAAATAATGGCCAATCCTCCTAAAATAATCCTGCCGTGGTAAAGAAGAGTTCTGGGAGCTGCGATCGGACTGTGATGAAAGAAGACGGTTTTTGAACCACAATAAGCGAGCGGATACAAGCACGAGGTCTGAACAGGAAACCACATCCTCACCTTGTCCAGGCATCAGCCCCATCCAAACAAACCTCAAACGCTTTTAATCACTTTGTTGTTCTCCCTGGTTACAAAGAGATGTGGAGACACAACAAATGTGTCTCCAAATGTTTCAGCAGTGCTCAAGGGAAAACCTCAAAACATGGTGGAGTAAAAAAAAAATATATATATAGATTCAAGGATTTTATTTATTTAGTTTTTTCAAGAGATTTGAGTTTGAGAGGTCAAGGGAAACACAACAACATCAAAAACACAGAAGCGAACACAGTCAAAGGCTCATCTCTGGTTGGTCTTGTGTCTCTGATTGCTTCCCCTGTGTTGCTCCTGGCCGAGGCTTATCAAAGAGCTCCTTTCATAAGTGCCAGGATCGAGCCACTGCTGTGACTGCTTGGCACCCACTGAGGTGGCTCAGATACTTGGGGGGGCAAGGAAAGGAAAAATTGAGGACGGAGAGTGAAGGGAAGATGGTGCTTTTAAAGGAAAGTGGGGAAGTGGCTGAGATCGGAGGGGAGTTTGGCATCTTTTGCGATATGGGTGTGTGTGTTCTTGTTGGAGAGACAACGCAGGGGAGGGGCACGTGTGATACGGGGAGGAGTTGTGTTTTTATGTGTGTGCTGAGAAAATGAATATGTATTTGCTTTAAACCCCCCCCCCCGGTGATTTCTTGCTGACGCGCTCCATAATGCACGGCATATCAAGGTGAGTGCAGCAGAAACGGTGAGGGGAAAGAGCAACACAAACAGAGAATACCCCGAGGCCATGTGCTCCTCCTCCCCACAGCAGCCATGGCTCCATGGAGCCCGTCCAACTCCCGACTTCGCCGACCAGACCTCATTCACGCAAAGGTGAGTCGGCGGCCGGTGTTCCTCCGCTCAGATGTCAAAGCGACGTTGTAACCACTTTGCACGATGTGTCACGTGCGCAGTCAAAACAGCCTGATTGCCGCTTGCGCTTTCCAGGGCCACGAGCTGACTGCGGTTCCGTGCTCTGTTTGCAAGATCGTGTGTCCGATGACACGGACGCGCCGTCAGCGTTCGGCCAAGAGGACGGACACTGTTCCGACAATTTAGTGAAGATGTTGCAGCTGCTTTGTCACCCCGGAACGTGGCCTGCTCTTTAGACTCTGTTTACACGTTGTCTCTTTTTTCCCTTGACCGAGCAGCAGAGCTCCGGGGAAATTGGTGTTTAACTCTTCGTCCCCCAAATTCTGGAGAATGAAGAGAAGTGAGAAGTTGCTCCTTGACTCGCCTGCTGGAGGGCAGGATAATATATCCAGGTATCATAGGGCATGTGCTGATGTGGTGTGTTATTTGTGCACGCGTGTGACTCAGCCCGCGTTGCCTGCGGCTGGCTGGTTGTGGCTTCAATGGGTCTTGACTCCGTTCCCTCCGGGCTTCCAAATGATGGGATGACCTTTCCACCTCGGCCAGGGCTGCAGCGTCACTCACAGCATGAAATGGAAAGTAATTTAAACCCTTCAGAATTCTTTCCATACTGCCTTAACCCTCCTATTTTATTTTATTTGAATCCTGCTTTACAAGAAAGGTCAGAACATTCATATAGTATCATTTATCATATTTGAAATACTGTTGGCACCATAAACAGACATTACCGTCTTTAACTTATTACAAAACAGTC